AGATGTATAGGAAAGAAACTTTCATACTTAACACCTCGAAATCAATTTATCCCCGTAGAAGCATAAACAGAAACGTCAAACATTAAATTTCACATGTAACAGGCATCCATTAGACATTCAATTACAATAGGAGCAATGTATAAGTTTGCGTAGTCAAATGTCGAAGTTTTCCAGTTACAACCTGTGCTAAAATGAGTAAACAAGCGACATTCTAGAAGGCGACAATTCTCCAACTCGTGCTAGTCGCACGTCATTATCCGAGGAGAGCCAAAAATAAATTCTGTGATTTGTGGACGCCATTAACTGGGCGACACAATAATTGAGGAAATTCTAGGTTTAGGTAAACAAATGAGTGCTTTTGGAAGAGTTTTTGCCTACACACGTCTTTAGGCGACACTTTTGTCTAGAAAAAAAGACAAAATTTTTTATAAAGTCCATAGCGCATGGATTATTTATATGCTCTCGTGAATTACTCATCTGCAGTAGTTTCTTTACAGAAACAGCTACAGCCGAAGAAAACCACAAAATACCGCTACCTCAGCGATTATCAATCCCATTTAAGTTAGTACACGCTTGAAGAAGGGAAGCATGAGAAATAGCGTACCAAATTTTCCTGTAAGTTTTCCGAACGGAAATACAAAAAAAGTGTTGCAAATCTTCTTCTCATAGATGCCACGCGTGCACATCCTTTGCGTCAATTATATGCAGGTGAAAAGGAGAAAACTTGTTCATGGTGGATGCATTAAGATGCGTAATAAAAGTATTTTGACTCAAACACTATACTAAATAAATTCTTAAGATACAGACGATTATTCCACGATAAATGTACGGCCTAACTTTCATGCCCAACAGCCTCTCAAGCACAATCATTCTGCATGTAAGTGCTGCTCCTTGAAGGTTTTTGCATTAAAAACTCGAAAAATCTAAACTTCAAAAAACTCAAGAAATAGTGTACAAATTGGCAGAAATGCAAAAGCAGTTGAGCTGGCATAGAAGTGCACGTAGGTTAACTATCCGTAAGTAATGTGGTTGGGAAGATTCGTTCGTTGGTATAGTAATTCATGCATAAAGAGCTTGAGATCTGGTTTTTTCTTGGTTTTGGATATTGTAACTTATAAGGAAAATATTCGGATAGTGCAAG